ATTTAGCATTAACATGGAATGATACGCAAGACACTCACACAGGATTACATCACCTTCTGTACCAATGAGTATGAAAAAAACGTTATACAGTAGGTGTAAAACAATAACTCATACATTTCTACAAAGTCTACACTGTGTAACTGAATAGGAAACTGAATAAAGGTTGAGTTCTGAGATCATCTTTTAGATTATATACAGTGGGTACGGAAAGTATTCAGACCCCCTTAAATTTTTCACTCTTTGTTATATTGCAGCCATTTGCTAAAATCATTTAAGTTAATTTTTTTTCCTCATTAATGTACACACAGCACATCACATTGACAGAAAAACACAGAATTGTTGACATTTTTGCAGATTTATTAAAAAAGAAAAACTGAAATATCACATGGTCCTAAGTATTCAGACCCTTTGCTCAGTATTTAGTAGAAGCACCCTTTTGATCTAATACAGCCATGAGTCTTTTTGGGAAAGATGCAACAAGTTTTTCACACCTTTGGGGATCCTCTGCCATTCCTTATATATATATATATATATATATATACATATACAGTATATCCAAATAAATCAAGAACTGCAATATTGCATTCATGTTTTCTATTTACTGTAAAACTATGTTAGATCAAAATGAACAGCTCTGTTTGAAAAGTTTCTGCATGTGTCTTTCCTGAAAATGGGACCATATTAAAAATAATGTTGTGTGGCCTTAAAAACAGCATATTATTGGTATCATTAAGACAGCAGTTTAATTCCAACAATGCAATATAAGTATTTTTCATAGCATGAAAGTGAAGGAAAATGATATGTTAACGTGGGAACACTGAAGCATAGAGGATTAAAGACATCAGATCGTGTCACACACGATGCAGGTGGAGGTGGTTCTGTATATAGTATATTATGCATGCACTTCTATGAGATTCAGTGATTTAAAACTGGATGGCTGGGTTTCCATTTTTGAATTCTGTCAATACATCACGCACAAGGCATATACGCCAGCCAAGCAGAAAGCATCTGCACTTTCAGCGCTTCCTTCATTGCTCATTGTTATCATCTTCAAACATACGGGAACATTGGTCTCAGCACCACCGTTTCTCCTGTATCTCACATGAATGATTCTGTGAACACGTTTGATCTCTGTCAGCCTTGCAATTCAAAGGTAATGACTTTTAAAAACATTAAAGCAATATTGCTGAAGCTACTGTACAAGTCACAGCCAGAAAAAGAAACAAAGACTTTTCTAAATGTGTCAAAATGTAGTAAGCAAACCATAAAACCTGGGCAAATTCATAGAATATTATCTAATTTTATCTAATATTATCTAATTTTAGTTCAAATTAGAGGGGGGGGGGATTGTTGGAAGTTAAAATAAGGTCAATAAATAAGATAATAAATAATAATTCATATGTTGGTTTCAAACATCTCGTTCAAAACTTACATTTGAATAATTTAGAATTTTGTTCTTCAAACGAAAAGTTATTTTGGGCAACTAACACAATTAAAGGACACTGAAATAGCCTGCATCAAGGCACCAATCAACTGTATAATGAAGATAGATTTGAACTAAACGGAAAGGTTGAACTGTATTGCCAGGACAAGAACATCCCCAATCTCTCATTTTAACTAAAAATCTATTTTGGCCAAAACATTTCTATTTACTTTGTGCTAAAATGCCTCTCGGCTGTTTAATAGCAGATTCCCATTGTGACAACATTCCCCGTTTAGTGTTAGAGCTAGCACCACTATCAATAGAGTTAGAATCTTTTTTATCTGGACAATAACAGTGAAATGTTTGTTTAGTAGTCAAGACTTGAAGGTTTGTGTCTATACAGAAATTCCCTAAGAAGTGTGATAATTAACCCTGCTCACATTATGTGGAAAATAATTAAATAAGAGTCAGATTATATATTATAATGGCATTAATAATTAAGAATTTTGCAAGTAATCACTTAAAAGATGCATAACTATGTGTAATAGCGCGTTGTGGGGACAAGCATCAGTGCGCACTGCGCAGGCGCAGAGAGTCACGTGTTCAGTCAGCTGAGCGCTGAGGATGTAAACACTGAGCACGTGTTTAGACAGCGGCTGATCAATAAGCGCTGGACTTTGATCATTCAGTTAGTTATTAGTTTTGCTGTCTGTCTCTCATTCAGCTGCACATGTTTGTCCTGCTGCAGACGCTTCAATGGCGCCGTTAAAGTTTTGTGCCAATATTTCATGGCTCTTCGCGGAGTTACCGGAGCTCACGCAGCGGATGCGCGACGCGGCGCGTGCGGGGTTCCGAGCGGTCGAGGCGGCGTGGATCTACAGCTCCGACCTGAAAGAGTTAAAAACCGTGAAGGATGAAACGGGACTCGAGTTTGCGCTCATAAACACCCCCCCGGGTAAGACTGCAAGCGAGCGACAGACAGATGGACAGATAGATGGATAGATGGATAGATGGATGGACAGATAGATGGATGGATGGATGGATGGATAGATAGATGGATAGATAGATGGATAGATGGATGGACAGATAGATGGATGGACAGATAGATGGATGGATAGATGGATGGATGGATGGATAGATGGATGGACGGACGGATAGATGGATGGACAGATAGATGGATGGACTAACAAACCATACATCAATGGAAAGATGATTTATTCAGCTTTCAGATGATGTATACATCTCAATTTCGAAAAATTGACACTCAAGACTGGTTTTGTGCTCCAGGGTCACATATGTACTTGTATTTGCATTGCGGCACTGTTCTCTAGATCCCGTCTTCTCACACGCTACGATTGGTTGATTATGTGCAGTGCCTGCATGCTATTGGTCAAGCTACTTTTCAGTCATTACCTTAAGCAAGTATGAAAACAGTAGAAAAACAAAGCTAAAACCGGGACATTTTTAGGCAGTTTAGAAATCCCGAGAAAAAGAGCATGTACTGGATGGTCACCCTAACTGTGTTGATTTTTAATACGCATGAGGACAAGGTTTTTAGTCCAGTAAATTGCTGCAGAGATGACATATTTCTGTAGGCCAAATCTGGAAACAAGTTGCATTTTAGTCATTCTAATTCCATCTTCCTCAAGTCATTGTTTTTTTGAACAGGTTTTGGGTTAAATGTCTGAAACAAGGTCTGTGGTGTTCACAAGCTCAAGATGTTGTCTTGTTTTATTCTACAACATAAAAGCCGTCATTAGTACACCCTTGCGATTTGTTCAAGTTTTTATTTGTCTTGAAAAAAGTGTCTAAATGGGACTACAGAGGCTTTCAGGGACATTAAACTTCATCACGCCAAACAGTTCAACTCATCTACTCACTAGTGGCTTTATAGCCTTGTTGTGTTTGTAATCATGCTCTTGTAAACTATTCTAACTTGCAACTTTTCAAGGAACATGTTTTTAATGAAGACAGAAAGAGCTGTCAGAAGTTTAGTGATGGTGGCATTGAACTCAAGTGACTAGTGTAGTTTGTAACTTTAGCTTGTCACTGATTGTATTTTTGTTGGTCGCAGAGCTTATTGTTATTATTATTAAATTTGGTGTTGGATTTACATGCAAGTATGGAATCCCTGGAATAAAAATTCCTTTTTTTTATCTCACTATTTAAACTTTTGAGACCAAAAGTTGCTGCTTCTTTTTTTTTTTTTTTTTTTTTTTTTTTTTACTCTTTGTTACAGCAGTTATTGTTCATTCTAAATGTATTTTTAATGTAGAATATGTGTTACATAAATACATGAAATGTAGAGTATAGGCCTAAAAAAGTGCTTATGGCTCGTCTGCCAGTGGGTGCCCCCCCCCCACGCATAAAAGTGAAACTCCGCCTATGCCTCCGTGTAGGCATAAGGGAATAATATGCAACGTTTGGGGAAGGGTAACAACTTGTAAAATTACAAATCATTTATATTGTAAGTATTTTGAAACTAAGGGGCACCTATTCTATTATTACATGGTATGCATGGCCTAAACAACAAACTTATATTTGGGAGTGATTTAGGAAGACAATATACTTTTTCTAATTTTATATTAGTATTTTATTATAGGCCTAGGTATTTTTTAACCATGGGGTACATATTCTATTAATAAAGGATAGCCTACATGATGGAGATCTAGTGAAATGAGTTAAATCATAGCAGAAACTCATTATAATTCACGAGTCTACTTACTAGCTACCTTATGAAAGCTTATTCGTTGATCTCAGCAACTTCACACCAGCAACGTCCCAACACCACTATCACCAAATAATTTTGCATGATATACCATCAAGGTTCAATGCAGCTTAAAACAAGCTTACCTCTTTCCAGCTGTTCGCAGAAAAAATACATGATACAACATTTGTATTTCAGTGGATGTATACTGTGATGTTTCTATAGCAAAAAAAAAAAGTAGAGGGTTTAATTTGGCCATCAAACAATTAAATTAAAACTAGTGCAATATTTTTGTTTGTAATTACTGTGCAAATATACACTTGTTCTGTGTTTAAGTCCAACTTGTTCCTCCCTTGTTCCATGTAGTTATAGTGTAAATACAGCATTTGCGGACTGTAAATTAGTGGTGCTTGTTCCCCCCTTATGCCATGTAGTTACAGGGTACAACAAATTGCTCTGAAATGATTGTTTATACAGTAGGTCATACATACATACATTATATATCCAATAATATATCAATAAACATGGCGGACTGTTTTATTTAATTCAAATATTTTTTTTAATTTACTATAGGCCTACTGCTGGGTTAAATTAACCCAAAATGGGTTTTTAAATTAAAATCACAAACAATATGACAACACGCATACATGACATAGTCTAGAGTGACTAGTTCACGTATATTAGAGTGTTCTCTTTCACTGCATGATTCAGTCTAACAAATGCCTTTAGAATGATCACAAATTCAAGACATGGGGGCAGAAAATGTATATATTTACACCACTTCATATAATTAATAAATTTCACACAAGGAGTGCCGTTTTTCCTCCAAAAATGACCATGATTACAAATGTGATATAGATTTTTTTTTACAACAGTTCAATAAACAAGAAGTTAATTAAGAGACTTTAGTTTTAGACACCATATTTCCCGGTTTTGCTCTATTTCGACAACAAAAATAATCCCAAACACAGCCACAGCACTGTTTTGCATCTCTGAGTAATATGATGGTGTTTCGTTCCTTAAAGGGGTCATATGATGCGATTTAAATTTTTACTTTCTCTTTGGAGTGTTACAAGCTCTTGGCGCATAAAGAAGACCTTGTTGTGTTTGTAATCATGCTCTTGTAAACTATTCTAACTTGCAACTTTTCAAGGAACATGTTTTTAATGAAGACAGAAAGAGCTGTCAGAAGTTTAGTGATGGTGGCATTGAACTCAAGTGACTAGTGTAGTTTGTAACTTTAGCTTGTCACTGATTGTATTTTTGTTGGTCGCAGAGCTTATTGTTATTATTATTAAATTTGGTGTTGGATTTACATGCAAGTATGGAATCCCTGGAATAAAAATTCCTTTTTTTTTATCTCACTATTTAAACTTTTGAGACCAAAAGTTGCTGCTTCTTTTTTTTCTTTTTTTTTTACACAATAGTAGAATTGCTAGAAGTTTATATCTCATAATTCTGACTTTTTTCATAAACTCAGATTTGTGAAATAAAAAGCTGCAATTACCTTTATAAAAAAAATGTAATGTAAAATTAAATATTAAATGTAAACTTGGAATTGCGAGAAAAAGTCAGAATTCTTCCAAGTTACATTTCACTTTTTTTTCTTTTTTTTTTTGGTTTAAAAAAGGTTCAGACAGTCTTCTTGCAATTATGATCTTACAATTCAGTTTTTTTCTTCTTAAAAATTGTGATATAAACTCCAAATTGTTATAAACTTGCCGTTCTGAGAGGAAAAGTCAGAAGTGTAAAATATATTTATTTCTCAAAAAAAAAAAAACCCTCAGCATTTCAATTTTTTACCTTTATATTTAACAATTCTTGGCTTTTATTCTCAGAAGAAGAGTGGCCTGCAAGAAAAGACCTTTTTTCTGTGGTGGAAATGGGCAAGATCACTTTTATTGCTTGTTTCTTTGTATTTGGCACCTGGTTAGGACACAAATGCATAACGCAAGTATAACAGGGTTGCAGTGTTTGATGAACCTGATTCATATTCACAGTTCTATGCTTCATTCTTATTATGTAAAGCATAAAACCGGCCTCCCACTCAGCGCACACTAAACCTGACTGGAAACATCGCACAGACAAAACGTAAGCGTCTAGACATGATAGTTCACGCCGTTACTCACTAAAACAGTCAGAAATGCGCTGAACGTCTGATCTAACACACGTCCTCCACGGGAAGCTCGTTTTCTCCATCAGCTGCCTGCCACCTCGAGATGTTTTACCTCTGCTGAGAGTAACTCATGCTAATGTCTCTCTCCAGGATCCACTTGATGGCGGGGAGGGTACCGGCGGGGGCGGACCGCTGCGCTGTTGCTATGGAGATGGAGGACACCTTTGTGCAGAACCTCAAACATGCTGCAGGTGTCCTCTCAAAGGTGACCTCCGCCCCGTTACTGCATTATAACACGGCCAGAACGTGTGCTTATATTCCACTGTAGAAGCTCTGGAGGATGCTACTTAACTGACGACAGTGTTCTGATACAACAGGCTAATTCACTGTAAATATTTCAATATTCTTGTTAGTCACAGAATTTTGTAATAGTAAGAAACAGTAATAAATATACAATAAACCCTAATAAATAGTCTCTCAAAGACTGCTGATTTGATCAGTAATCACTAATCATTAATAACTAATAATTAATTCATTTTTATTTCTGTTTACATTCCATTCCTTTCTATAGACACAGTATTTTTCTTTTAATTATTCTTTTTTTTTTTTTTGGTTATGATTTTTCAATCAGGAATACTGTAATATTAAAAAAACGAAACTACAAGTGCATAGGTATAGTAAAATAAACATGTATTTATAGAAAGTGACAGTAATAAAGACAATGTTACAAGAGATTTCAAATAAATGCTGTTTTTTAAACTTTCTATTCATCTGTCTTGAAAAATGAAATGTATCAGTTTCCACAAAGATACTGTATTCAGCAGCACATCTGTTTTCAACACTGATAATAATCAGAAATGTTTCTTGAGCAGCAGATCAGCATATTAGAATGATTTCTGAAGATCATGTGACACTGAAGACTGGAGGAATGATGCTGAAAATACAGCTGCGTATCACAGGAATAAATTACATTTTAAAATATATTTATATTAAAATATAATAGAAAACAGTTTTTTCAAACATAATATTTCATAATTGTACTGTTCTCACTGTATTTTTGATCAAACAAATGTAGCCTTGGTGAGCAGAAGAGACTTCTTTCAAAAACATTTTAAAATCTTTCTGGCCCCAATCTCTTGAACGGTAGTCTATGTTTATGCTGACTATCAGTGTTAGTTGTGTGTATTTTGTTTCTCATCAGCTGTGACTCTCTCTGTCCTGTACAGGAAGGCATTCTGGGATTGATTGAGCCAATCAACACCAGGATCACAGATCCACGATATTTCCTCGACTCCCCTCACCAAGGTAAGAAGGTTTTTTCTAAGCATGATTATGTGTATTTTGATTCCTGATGATTTACGCGTGTGTTTTTGTCTTCATCACACTTTCTGCAGCCGCAGTGATTCTACAGAGAGTCGCTCATCCCAGCATCAGGATGCAGATGGTGAGTGAGCTTTACCACTCAAGCTTTATTTTTAGTCATTGTTAGCATTATTATTCATGAAGCTTTTTCATGAAGATCTATCTGTCTCTCTCTCTCTGTGTCTGTCTATCTATCTATCTATCTATCTATCTATCTATCTATCTATCTATCTATCTATCTATCTATCTATCTATCTATCTATCTATCTATCTATCTATCTATCTATCTATCTATCTATCTATCTATCTATCTATCTATCTATCTATCTATCTATCTATCTATCTATCTATCTATCTATCTATCTATCTATCTATCTATCTATCTATCTATCTATCTATCTATCTATCTATCTATCTATCTATCTATCTATCTATCTATCTATCTATCTATCTATCTATCTATCTATCTATCTATCTATCTATCTATCTATCTATCTATCTATC